CCTGCTCACTCTCTATCCCTCTCAAAATAAATACATAAACATATATATATATATATATATATATATATATATAAGGTCAAACAATGAGTCACTGTTAGGGTACTGATCTCAGATATAATGAAAGGATATACGGTTATATTAACTAGCAGGGGGATATTTTTGAATTGTAAACTCCGGAGGGAAATAGATCTGATATGTAAAGAAAGCTGTAGGAAATGCTCTTTTTGTCACAAACAACTGCTTCCTGTTTAAGTGAGGCAGCATACTGGCATGATGACAAGGAACTTAAACTCTGGAGGCAGAGTCATTTAAAACGTAGCAGCTATGTGACCATGGTCAAATCATTTGAACTTTTTGGGCTTGTTTTCTCATTTATAAGATGGGAAAAATAATAGTACTTACTTGATGGGACAGTTGCTACATATATTATGTACATGTAAATGAGCTCACATATAGAAACAACTTATAACAGTCCCTGGTACATGATGAGTCCTGTATATATTTGCTGTTTTTATTATTTTCCCCCATTCAACCCAGTACATATAATCAAATATTTATAAAATTTGTTTGCCCCTACTTATTTACAAAGCTACCTCTACTAATTATACTGAAACTTGTAGGTTTCCCAAACATCCATGGTATAATTGGGGGGCTGGGGGGAGGGAGAAACACTTAATCTGGAACTTTGAAGCTCAAGGAGAAAAAAATCAGGATTGGAGGCATAGTTGTAGAATAATGAATAATAATACCTTTCGTCTATTGAGTGCTTATTATAGTCCAGGGTGTTCTAAATGCTTTCCGTGTAAATCTCATTCGATTCTCCTAGTGACCCTATGATATAAGTACTTTATTATCCCCATTTGGAGGAGGGAATGGAAGCAAACAGGTGAAGTAACTTGCCCCATGTCACACAGCAGGAAGTAAGACCCAGAATTTGAGCAGTCTGGAGGCTCCAGTTTGTTCTCTTAACTACCAGACATCATGTTATCATATAAAATTTATATATTATCGTTTGGGCTAATATCCAGTGAACATAACAGTGCAACCAGACTAGCTATCTGAATGGCTGGTGCTCTGTTCTGATTAACTTGGTGCTTGGATGATATCATTTGTTAATATATTATGACGATCACTTCTGATTATGGGTGGTGGTTAAAGCCACGGAAATGGATGAGATCTTCGGAGAAGTGTGTTTTTATAGTATGAGAAAACTAATATTTTGAGCACCATGAAAGCAAAGGTAGGCTCTGTTTTAGTCACGACTATGCTCCCTAATTGGTTTTACTCAATCTCTGCAAATATGTAAAGGAAGAAAAAGACCGAAGACCGTCTATCGATGTCTTTAGCGTAGGTTTTCCAAAGGAGTTGAAGAGCAAAAGATAAATAAAGTAAATAAAGTAATAAAGTAATAAAGTAAATAAAATAATGAGTATACACTATTATTGCGAGAAACTTGGCTGGGAAGAAATGGACCAGGTGACAGCACCACATGACTGGAAAATAAAAGACGACGTGCCTTTTTTATCTGGCATTTACAGCCTCATTAATGACATTTTGAAAAATTCGAACAGACCTTTAAGAATTCCACAAAATTATTCTAAAGCTCATCTACCACTCAAAGAAACCTGTGAGAACACCAAGAAAAGTTCTGAAACCCGTAAGAACACCAACCAAACAGCAAGACAACAATGGGGGCTTACCCCTCAGTTACTTGACCTCCTCCGCCTTTCTACTTTTCTGTTCTGACTCAACCACAGGCTTGCTTGGTCACACCCTCAGCGACATTATCAATGCAGCTACTCTGCTTTCAAAATAGTTAATCCATTCGGTGTCTGACCGTCACATACTATTCTTCAAGCTTGATTGTTCAAATACGCCCACGATCCCTATTTAATGATCCTATCGAGATTTCCAGTTGGTTGACCATTCTGACTTTTCCCAACCCGCCAGCCTTCTCCTTAGTTTTCTTTCTCATCCAGCTAACTCAAACTCATCTGAAGCTTTGTGGACCCTGGGTTGTTTTTTGGTTTTTTTTTTACCTTTATTTATTTTTGAGAAACAGTGAGACAAAGCGTGAGGGGGGAGGGGAGATGCAGAATCTGAAGCAGGGTCCAGGCTCCCAGCAAGTGGTCAGCACAGAGCCCTATGCGGGGCTCGAACCCACACACTGTGAGATCACGACCTGAGCTGAAGTCAGTCGCTTAACCAACTGAGCCACCCAGGCGCCCCAACTTTCAGAGTAGTTAAAAAAAAAAATGCTTAGACAGGCTTCACTGAGATACCTAATAAGTTCCCAGCCCCTCTTTTGGCCTCCCAAAAGACTGCCTTGTATCTCCACGCCAACCCAGGAAGACAAGTGAGCAAGTGACTGAGCCAGTCTGACTCCATTATGAAAACTGGGGAGATCCTAGTTATTGGTGTATCCTGAGTGCTCAAACAAAATGTTTTAAAACTTAAGTAATTTTTTAAAAAAGCACACTGACTTTTAGCCCCACGGTGTTCCTTGTCTGACCCCGGCTAAATTGTATAATATTTCAGCTTCCTAGTCTCTTCATGCGGCAAGCACTTTATATGTTCACAAAACTCCATTTTCTTCTCCTCCTGGACTGTGTTTCTGTCTTTCTTAGAGCTGGGTGGAGCCACACGATTGATTTTTGGTTAGTGGAATTGGGTCAAAAGTGACGTTTGCCATATCCAGTCCTTGATTCTAAAAACACTCTTTCGTGCAGCTTAACGCTTTCTTGTCTCTTCTCTGTCCCCTCCTGTGTATGCTGTCTCCTATGAGATGGCCGAATGTGGAGAATTCCGTAGAGAGTTCCAAGGCCATAGGAGATGGTGGAGTCACCAGATGGAAGGAATCTGGGTCCCTGAGTAACTGCAGGCAGCAAGAACATCCTCACCCGATTTACATTAGGCTTCAGTGTGAGCAAGAAATAACCCTTTTTTGTGTATAACTGCTCCAAGTTTAAAAGGCTGCTAATTACAACAGTACATCATCCTATAAATTTGGGCTAATAGATCGTCTGTTAAATCTTAGGATGTTCTGAGTCAGAATCAAATAAAAACTTGTTCTTTGTTTCCCTTGAGCATCTTAGAAATTGGCTTCATGAAATTGTTTGTCCTAAAAACACACAGCAAAAGTCCCTACCGTTAAAACCCAAGATGGCTTCCAATTATTCTCATCTCCTGGGATCCAAGCCCTTGTAGTCCCCTCCCACATTGAATCATGGCTGGCTGGTGTTACCGATAGAAGACTGCAGAAGAAATAGCGTATGATTCCAAGACTCAGGCATTAAAGATACGGCAATTTCCACCTTGGTCTCTCTTAGATGCTTGCTCTGTAGAAAGCCTGGTGTCAGGTCGTGAGGACAGCTGAGCAGCCCTGTGGAGAGGGCTACCTACATGGCAAGGAACAGACCTCCCATCAACTACTAGCCTCTACTTTCCACCCATGTGAATGTGCCGAATTCCTGATGAAGCTGACATAATAAATATTTACTGTTGTTTTAAGCCACAAAGTAGTAGAATAATTTGTGATACAGCAGTGGATGACACGATCTGTGATACTACTGTTTGTTAAAATTCCTAGATTCTTTTTTTTTAAATTTTTTTTAACGTTTTATTTATTTTTGAGACGGGGAGAGACAGAGCATGAACAGGGGAGGGTCAGAGAGAGGGAGACACAGAATCGGAAACAGGCTCCAGGCTCTGAGCGGTCAGCACAGAGCCCGACACGGGGCTCGAACTCACGGACCGCGAGATCATGACATGAGCCGAAGTCTGCCGCTTAACCGACTGAGCCACCCAGGCGCCCCCCTAGATTCTTTTTTTAATCTCTTTTTTCCCCTTCAGCATTATTGAGACGTAGTAACATACAATGTTGTGTAAGTTTAAGGTGTACAACATAATAATTTGATATAATATATATTGCAAACTGATTACTACAATAAGGTGAGTAAACACATTCATCACCTCATAGTTACAGGTGTGCGTGTGTGCGTGTGTGTGTGTGTATAATACACATCACATCTTCTTTATCCATTCCTGGTGAGGGACACTTAGGTTGTTTGCATGTCTTGGCTATTGTAGACAATGTTGCAATGAACATGGGGTGCAGATACCTCTTTGAGATAGTGATTTTATTTCCTTCAGATATATGGTGTATAGAAACACAAGCTGAAAATTTCTACATTCCAATGGCATTCTCTTTTTCGTGGGGCATCAGTGCCTGCTACTGAAACAGAGTACGCAGGAATCATTCTTTTTTTTTTTTTTTTTTTTTTTTTTTTTTTTTTAATTTTTGAGAGAGAGAGAGAGACAGACAGAGCATGAGGCAGGGAGGGGCAGAGAGAGGGACACAGAATCGGAAGCAGGTGCCAGGCTCTGAGCTGTCAGCACAGAGCCCCGCGCGGGGCTTGAACTCACGGACCGTGAGATCATGCATGACCTGAGCTGAAGTTGGACGCCCAATCAGCTGAACCACCCAGGTGCCCCACAAGGAATCATTCCATTCATCTCCAAGTCACAGGAAGTTGTATCAATCCTGTAGCTAAAAGGACGTGGGGGGGAATCATTTGGTAATGGCAATTTTGAAGAGTAAGTCTGAACAATGTAAGCTGATTCTGACATCTTCTTAAAATCTTTAAGCAGGGAGGGAGACTCTGGAAGGAAAAAAAAGAATAATGTTTTTCTTGATACTATTGTAACCACAAACATTTTGAAACATTAGTTGGAAGTTTATTGAGCAACTTTCAAGAGAATACAAATGGGACACGTACATTTCTTCAATAGGATGACACACATCAATATGGGAAAAGAGAATATCTGGAATTCGGTAGAGCCAGTAAGTGTTGTAATAATAATAATAATAATAATAATAATAATATCAAGTTAATGTGGAGTCCATGTATATCTTAAACCAGTTTATCTGTTCCCTTCTCTCATTTATTTCCTACAGAGATTGTCTTGCTCTTCTCGCATTTTCTTTTTTGTTTGTTTTAAGTTTACTTATTTATTTTGAGACAGAGAGAGGGGCGCCTGGGTGGCGCAGTCGGTTAAGCGTCCGACTTCAGCCAGGTCACGATCTCGCGGTCCGTGAGTTCGAGCCCCGCGTCGGGCTCTGGGCTGATGGCTCAGAGCCTGGAGCCTGTTTCCGATTCTGTGTCTCCCTCTCTCTCTGCCCCTCGCCCGTTCATGCTCTGTCTCTCTCTGTCCCAAAAATGAGTAAACGTTGAAAAAAAATTAAAAAAAAAAAAAAAAGAGACAGAGAGAGAGAGAGAGAGAGAGGGGAAGGGGCAGAAAGAGAGGAAGAGAGAGAATCCCAAGCAGGCTACACGCTGTCAGCCCAGAGCCGGATGAGGGGCTCAGTCTCACCAACCGTGAGGTCATGACCTGAGCCAAAAGCCAAAATCAGGAGTCTGACTGAACCCTTCAGATGCCCCATTCTCACACTTTCTTAAGGTACGTCAAGAAGTTAAATAAATTTCAATACAAATGACAAAGAGATGGTGAAGAAAAGACATATCAATTTATCAGAAAAGAAGTTTGAAGAAGGATGTTTCTTTTGGTATCATAATCTTTGTCCCTTAATGTGACCGACTAGAGGGGCTCCTGGCTGGCTCAGTTGGAGGATCATGCAAGTGTTGATCTCAGGGTCATAGGTTCGAGCCCTGTGTTGGGTGTAGAGATTACTTAAGTAAACAAAACCTAATAAAATAAAATAAAATAAAATAAAATAAAATAAAATAAAATAAAATAA